ACCAATGTTAATTACTAGCACGGTAGTTAAACCATTCGAAAGGGTTTGCCTAGATATAGTAGGACCCTTACCGAAAACACTGACAGGAAACATGTATATTTTAACTCTACAGGACGAACTAAGTCGTTTCTCGCTAGCAATAGCGTTATCCGCCACAGATGCACAAACGGTAGCTCAGGCGTTCGTAGAATGTTTCGTCTGTATATACGGTATACCCGAGTCAATTTTGACTGACTGTGGAACTAATTTTTTATCCGATGTATTCAAAAGCATGTGTAAACTGTTGGACATAAAAAAATCTAAAACTACATCGTGGCATCCACAAAGCAACGCTTTTCTGGAACGCTCTCATAAAACATTAAAAACTTATTTACGTAGCTTCGTAGACAAAGACAGTAATTGGGATAGATTATTGTGTTACGCTACTTTTTGTTATAATACAACAGTACATACTTCTACTGATTTTACGCCTTACGAACTAGTATTCGGAAGGAAACCAAATATTCCATCAGCGTTCAATAAAAATCCCGAGCCACAATATAATTACGACGATTATGTATTCGATCTTAAACGAATTATGCAAGAGGCACATAAAATCGCTCGAGATAACTTAATAAAGAAAAAAGAGGCAAACAAAAATTATTACGATAGGACCCTAAATGTCATTGATTTACATGTAGGTGACAAAGTTCTTATCAAAGAGCACAATAAGAAAAATGCACTTAGCTTAAATTGGCAAGGACCTTTTGAGGTACTCTTAGTACACGACAATGAAAATATTACGATTAAAAAAGGAAATCGCGAGTATCGTATACATAAAAATAACGTAAAACGTTATTACGACGATGACGATACCGAATAAATTATTACAAATTCATTTTTCTTAACTTACCTACTTATTATAAATTTTTCCTACCAAATTCTTTTATTATTATTTTAGGGACAAACGAAGAAACTTTATGACCACGTTCCGTACAACGTTAATAGTACAACAGCACTGCCACACGGCCTTATATCCCGACGAAATTCCGCGGTGTATGCTTAACCATATAGACACGGCGAATAAAAATTTACTTCAACCGTATACGCCAGTGGAGCTGTTGGAACTCACTCGTACAATTAATCACTTCTCACACGACTTAACAAAAACATTAAGACCTCTACGCAAACCACTTTGTTCATATCTAAGGGAATTTTTGGAAACAACTGAACACCCAGTAGATATACTTGATTATATGCGACTTTAAATTTAAATTTAAAAAAAAAAAAGCATGTACTTTATTAGCATTTCAATAGACATTTTCTTTTATAACTATGATAACTATTTAATTCTATTCGATGTTTCTATTAACTTTTCTTCGAATGAATACGTATTTTATAATAACGTCTTCATTTTGACATAATCGTATATATATGATGTCCAATACATATGTATATATATGTTTTGTTTTTAGTAAACCACCTGAGTTCGCGGTCGTAGATTTTGAATTCACACAATTAGGAAAAGAAAATTTAATCTTAATATCTGGCGCCGTATGTGGTCATTATGAACCATTAGTTACGAAATTCGAAGGACGCGCACTCAAACTTAGAACCAATGAACCAGTAACTACCAGAGAATGGAAAGCTATGGTACACCACCTTGTGAACATTTTTAAGGGAAAACCTAAAAAGCTATTCCCTATACTTGCGCAAATCTACGACTCCGACCATACTTCGTGTCCGAACTTAACTTGTACCACCATACAAACAATACTTAACAAGTATAACTCTATAATTCTGTGGGAAGGTTCTACTGACATTAAAATTCTGAACGCTCTCCACATACATTGTCGAGCATTGACAATGCGTGGGTGGGACACAAACAACAACGGAAACTTCGATTTGCAACTAACGGATATGCTTACGAAGCAATCCATCTGTTCCATTAAAATAGGAACGTTTGAAAAACAAGGACGCGCTTTAACACTGAGCGAAGCTCATGAGCTCTTATGTAAAAAAAACCCACGGGTTTTCCGAAGCTCACGATCCTAGAACAGACGTTCTATGGAACCGTTGTTTATTCCGTAAATTACAATTAGAATTCCACGATTTAATCAAAAACACAATCGAATGTTAAAGTACAAATTTATTATTATTACTTAAAAAAGTAAACATTATATAGGGTGACGGAATATATTATTTTATTATTTTACAATTATAGTTTTTTTTTATAGCAATTATGCATTTTTTCTATTTGGGAATAAGATTATTCATATTCTTATTTTAATTTGCACTTATATATATATAAAAATAGGTTAATTTTAAATCTAATACATTTACCTACATAAAATTACCTTGACTAATAAGCTGAAACAGTGAAACGGTTTTCAGACTTATACTACTAACTATACCATTCACGTCGGGAAGATTTCGATACACTGACGAACAATTAACACAACATTCCGGTCTATACTACGAAAATCGGGGACCATTGAAACTTATCACATCTCAATGGGACTTAACCGCGTATATTAATTTTGCTAAATACAAAGAAAGATTTATTTATATTGACGATGTTATGAACAAAACCGAAATAATATGTGAAAGTATCAAAAATAATGTTGATACCAATTGTAACAATTTAATGCAAACAGCTAGTAGCATAGTAAACGATTTACGAAAAAAGAAGGAACTAGTATTAGACTCTAAAGAACACTATGCCATGTATGATGAATTTTACTATACACATTGTAAGCACGCTAGAGACTTCCTTTTATGTCCTGAAGGTAATCATTTATACCCGCGTACAAGTAGACCAGCATGCGAAGTTCAACTTTTGCAGGATCCAATAAAAGTTCCATCAACTTGTGAAGTAATGCACGTCCAAATCGGAACATCCATATTCCACAAGTAACGATTCAAGAACGAGTGGATATACGTAACTAATTATGATGTAGTATTTATTACATGCGACGAAGACAAGGAATCCACAAGTCACACACTAAGGGGAGTAGGCATTTTGCGACTCAACGAAACTTGCAAAGGATACGCCGCAAGAGACGTACTTATACCAGGAAAAGTCGACTACAAATCTGAATATATGGATTTCAACCCGAAGTCAACTATAGAACGTATCAAAGATATGCCGTACACCGACAACAATAACTTGATGGAAGACTACCATGTGAAAACAAATAACATGGATGACCTACATACCGTGTCAGGTTCAAAGAAACAACTAATAATAGGTAGATAACATAGAAGTATTGAACCTAGGTGGCTAGGTATGCCATTTATAAACTGAATTGTAAATAATAGTTAACATCTTATATACCTAGATAATTTGATACTATTTCTCATAAATAGTTCATACTGTAACCAAAAAATCAAAAAAATATATGAACACAGTTATTTTTTACAGACATTTTAAATTAAAATTTGGACAAAATTACATATTAAAAAAACTAGAATAACTATTTTAGTTATTTTGTTGTGATTGAATAATATTATTCGTGGGTACTTGAAACTTCTAAAGTTTACTATTATATATCTATGATAGTATCACGGTTTTTGTTGATGTATAACGTGTCATAAGTACCTACAAATTTTGGTTTAGTACCGTAGATATGTATATAATATGTCTTATACCTAGACTGACATACCGTCTCCGCTCAGAATCGTTTTTCTTATACAATGATATTATATCGTTGAATTCAAATTTAATATCATCCATTATACAGTGACCCACTTGTAACCTACTGTACAACAGAGCTAAACCCACTTGCCTACCTTTTTTTTTTATATAGGAATTTTTTATAAACACTAACGCTTTATATAATATAGTATAAGTATACAATTTTTAATTAAGCAAAATAAAATAAAAACTCAATATTCAAAAAAATAAATGGTGCTAGTTTGGTATGCGCTCGACAGACAAGTTTCTGTTTCGGTATGCGCTCTACGCCTCTACATACCTACGTCGTTTTTATTTTATTATTTTCCGGATGAGCTCTATATGTCGTTTTTATTTTATTATTTTATTATTGGCTTTCATTCACGTTCTGGATGTCTTCTAGCATGGCGAGAAAAAGGTCCGGCCTGTCTTGACGGTAAAGTCGCCAACAATAGTGGTCAAGATGGGACTGCAAATGATTTAAAGGAACACCTCTCATTTTCTTTAATAATTTAATTTTTGCGTCTAACCATGACTGCTCAATGTCTTGAGTGTGGGTTCCTGTATTTACATCGACATATGACATTTGGTGATTTACCGTCTCGTGTACAAAACCACGGCTTGTGAGACACGGACACCTATATGCAGCTCATTCATCAGAATGAATTTCTGATTCTGCCTCGCATTCACGTTCTATTATCGGTAGCAATGTTTCTCGACCGCGTCGATGAACATAAAAATAACGGCAATCGTTTCCATTTTCTAAACCAAATACCCAGAGGCCATCTACTCGTGGACCATGATTTCGGTTATTAATAACCTCAACATTTATATCTCTCAAAAAGGGAGGAGCGTCTTCAGCTAATAATCTACCCCTGTTGTTCTTCCTTCGGCCAGCGAAACGAGCTTCGTCAATTTGAGTCAATTTTTCCAACCATTTTTCTTCTTGTATTCAAAACAGCTGTACATACTTCTCTACACATATTAAACCAATCGTTAACACACTCCTTCCTTCTTCCTGTACGATCCATTACCGTTTGTGTAGGAAATTCCAATACAAACATAAATACAAGTTCCACAATTTCACAAAGTGTTAATCCACTGTTGCAACGTTGGTTCAAGTCAGTAAAATTAAAAAATCTGCTGCTAGCTCGAGCTGATCTTGTTGTCTGACAGCCTCTTTTTGTTACTGAGTGTTAAAGCTTTTGTTACTCATCAAGGTTCTAACTTCGTAAATTTTTCCAAAATCAATAGTGTTACTCCTGAAGAGCCATATTTTGAAGTTGATGATGGCAAAATTATATATATTTTTGACCCACCTCATTTGTTGAAATCGACTAGAAATATGTTTTTCAAACACAATTTAATTGTTAATGATGATGTAATAGAAAAAAAACATGTTGATACTTTTTATAACTATGACTCAAAGTGTAATGTTCGAATGGCTCCTAAATTAACTTATTCCCATATTCATCCAAGTCCTTTTGAAAGAATGAAGGTTAGATTAGCGGCTCATATATTTGGTCATAGTGTAGCCGCAGGAATGTCTGCAGCATTGAATCAGGGTATTCCACCAAAAACCTCTAAATGTACAATCAATTTTATTAATTTTATGGATATTATTATTATTATTATTTGATATTTTTAATTCATCTGATACACCAAATAGCAAAATATATAATAATCCTTTCACAAATGATGGACATCAATTAGATCATTTAAAGAAAATGGTTGAAATGTTTAAAAACATGAAAGTAATTAATAAGTATGATGGATCTGATGTGACTAAAATAGTAAATTTTATTAATGGTTTGTTGATTACCATATCGGGTTTGATAATGTTGTGGAATACCTTAAACCCTGAACAAAAAAAAGGATTTGCCCTTCAGACAGGTCGAATCAGTCAAGACTGCTTAGAAAATTTTTTCGGAATATTTCGTCAACAACATGCTAATAGTTATAATCCTACACCTATTCAGTTAATTTGGGCCTATAAAAAAATATTTTGCCTTGAATATTTCAAGCATTCTCTAAATGCGAATTGCATTGAAGATCTTGATAGTGTTCTTTGTAAAGTAAATTAATTAAATAATGTTTCGCCATCGTTTCAAGAAATTGTTAATCCCGAACAATCAAAAGATAATCTTTTTAAATTCAATCCTATCTCTATTGGTACTGTAGACTACAGAAAATTAAATGTTTCGGAAACTGATGCTTTAACATATACAGTGTGTTCACGGAAACAGGGAACACTTAATAACTCATTACCCTGTAAATATTTTTCAATTCTGCTTGTGGGGCATTCAACTAGACTAATAGGTCATACATTCCTATAACTAATAATTTTTTTAACTCATATAGTTTGCGCATGCGCAGTACATTATCCTTGTTTTTAAATGGTAACACCTGTTTTGAACACTATATTTGGATAGGCCTATTTTTTATAAGTAATTTTGATGGATCAAGTATGGTTCTAAATTCAAAATTGACTGAATAAGAGCCATGTAAATTTTAATAAATAATACATTTTTTATTATTTTTAAAAATTTGTAAAATCATTTGTAATTAATTCTTATTGGTTACTTTTTCAATATTTGTACGTATTTTTTTTAAGTGTTATAAAGAAGACTAACATAATATGAGTACAAAATTATTTATTATAAATCGATTAGGTACAAGCAGACAACAGTTATTTTATAAAATATAAAGTTATCAAGGTTTGAAATAATAAGATAATGTTAATTAGCATAGTTTTTCAGGTAATTTAATACTAGATAATCATAAGTCATAACAATAATAATATGCATTTATTGCACATGAATATGCACTATTATTAGATGTATAATATCGATAAGTGATAAATTATTTATACCTACCTATCAATTCGTAATTATTTATAAGTAGATAAACCGTTTTGATTATTAATTTTATACTCTAAAATGTAGATATTGTGAATCATTTTTGTTTTGATTGTCATAGTGCGAGTAGTTAAGTTAAAATGAACAACCAAGAAAAAGTACAAATGCTTTTAATTTATGGTAGATGCAATAGAAACTCTCGTCAGTCAGCAAAAATGTATGCTGAACAATACCCAGGTCGGTACCATCCACCACACACTTTGTTCATTAAAATAGAAAAATTATTGATTAACCATGGAGCATTTTCTGTAAAAGGAGTCCGTAACCAACAAATTAGACAAAATAATATTAATGATGATGTAGAACTTCAAGTTTTAGCATATATTAGATTGAATCCACTATCTTCGGTTAGGCATGTTGGTAGAGAAGTTGGAATATCGTTCGGCCTTGTGCATAAAATTTTAAAAAAACACAAATTACATCCTTACAAACCTGAATTAGTTCAACATTTACGACCTACAGATCCAGAAAGAAGGTTAAATTTCATTGCTTGGTTGCTCGTTCAAATCGATACACAACCGTTATTTTTAAATCAGATATTATGGACTGATGAATCTAAATTCACGAATAATGGAGTTATTAATAAGCAAAACAATCGTTTATGGTCAGATGTCAATCCTCATTGGGCAGTGGATAGCCGTCACAAAACTGTGTTGGGTACAAATGTTTGGTGTGGACTTATAGGTGGCAAATTATTAGGACCGTATTTTTATGAAGAAAACTTAAATTCAAGACGATATTTCGCGGGCTTGGATCCAAAAGGTTCTATATGAGTTTTTTATTAAATACACTTTTTTCGATATATAGGCTATGAATTGTACCGCGCTTTTTTCTAGCTAGTAAGGAGTTCAAAACATTAAGAATCAAAGAAGTTATGCAGAGCAAACAAGTTCTATCTAACTTCAAAATAATATTATTGAGAAACATAGATAGAACTGTATTTAAATTATTTTATGTTAGAACAAAAAGGTTCTATCTAATTCTAAAACTATTTTATTAGGAACAAAAAGTTCTATATTTGATTTTTAATACCACGCGTACAATAATTTGTACAATAATAATATGATAACACAATAGTTATTGTGAATTCATAATACGTTACAACTTACAACGCGTCGCGAGGTGTGGTCGGGCGGTGTAGACGGGTGTACCTAGTACAAGTTTAATAATGTTATAAATAGACATATTGCCTATATTGGTATGTATTTATTATCATAATATTATATTAGTTATATTAGTAATAAAATTATGGAATATTCCATTGTACTACGTTCGCGCGCATTTCGTTATCATATAAAGTTTATATTATTATTAAATATTAATAGTGTTATGTTTATAATAATTTATAATAATACAATTTTGATAATATTTTGACTCGACAATCGACATATTATTATACTAGGTTCGTCCGGAATAAGAAGTAAGAACGTGCTTATTAGTTATAAATTTATAATACTCCCGACGGAGCATACTAGCATAGTGCACGTCCTGCTTGCTGTTATAAGTTATATCTTAAAACAAAACACATTAATATTAACGACGTTTTTCACCATGAATCTACGAAAAAGGACAAATTATATTGTTAAATTGGCCAATCAACATAATTATAATAATACAGAAAAAGAAAACTACTCCAGCCCATCGGAATATGATGACTCTGTCAAAGATGCCGACTTTATCCCATATAAAAATAAAAAAAGGTAAGTTTTATTGGACTATTATTTTGGAATATTAGACCGAATTATATTAGATAGGTTATATTATGATACTTGGATAGTGGATGTCTATACTATAGGGGCGTGTTTAAGGGGCGTATTTTATAATTTTTTTTATTATTGAGAGTATTACTCTTTTTTTTTTTTTTATTAAAGATAAGGCTTCGACTACTAGGTCATTAGCCTACAGTAGTTTTTACACTGATAATGTACAATCTAGTTATGATTAAGGATTCTAATATTATAGGTTAGTAGTTTTACAAATTTTTCTATTTACAATATATTTGTTAGTTAAGTAATTTCAACAGTATTAAATTTTAGTGTCTAAACCAATGTGTTTGAAGAAACTGTGGATCAGGTGAGTGTGGTGTTCACCCAGTGCCTCCTCCATCGATGACGGTTGGTTGAGAATGGTCCTTGCGTTGAAATACAGCGGACAATCGAGGACAATGTGTTTAATCGAGAGTGGTTCATTGCATCGGCTACATAGAGGTTGTTCTTCGTTTTTAATGATGTGTATGTGGGTGAGGTTGGTATGGCCAATTCTTGTTCTTGTGTTTATTATTTCAGACCGTCTAGAAATATTGGGCTGTGTTTGCCATTTGGTAATTTTCTTTTTGATACATTTTAATTTATTTGAGATTGGGATTTCGTCCCAGGATATTTGCCATGTATTGATAGTGTGTAAGTTTATTATTCTTTTGATATCTTGATATGGGAGAGTGGAAATGAGTGTGGACGAGGTCGAGGTGATAGCTTCGTTTGCAAGTTTATCTGCTTTTTCGTTTCCTGGGATCCCTATGTGAGAGGGAACCCATATGAACTCAATTACTTTTTTGGTCGAGGACATGATGTTATTAATTTGGTATATTATTTCATTAGAGGGGTTTGGTGCTTCAATGGCTAGGAGGGCGCTTAGAGAGTCGCTGATTATTAAAATATTATTTGTGGACGTTGTTATTGCGAATAGTAATGCTTCTTTGATCGCCTGGGTTTCCGCTGTGAAGATGCTGGCTTCCGGGAGGAGTTTGAAGAGTTTTGAAGTATGGTTAGTACAGTAAGCGAATCCTACTCCGTCACAAGTTTTGGAAGCATCAGTGTAAATATAATTAAAATCCTGGTATTCAGAGTATAAGATGTTGTTAAAGGTTCTTGAGATTATTGTATGCAAAGTGTTGTTTTTTTTGAAATGAAGGAGCTGCGTGTTAATTTTAGGGGTCCATTGCCAGAAGGGGGATGTTGTAAATGGAGAGAAGGTGTCCGTGTTGACGAGGCAATTTGAATTGCTGCATAGTTTAGTGTACGTGTCCGTGATTTTTTCATGGTTCCTTGATGTTCTGAGACTAGGAGAGGAGGTGAATATTTGTGATGCCATGTGGTGTTCAAGGTTTTTCTTTTTTGCCGCGTATTTTAAGATATCTTTGTTTCTTCGAATCTGTAGAGGAGGCTCGCCTGCCATGCAAAGAATACTGGAAACTGGACTGGTACGGAAAGCTCCTATGGAAAGCCTGATTCCTTCATTATGAATAGGGTCAATAGTGCGCAAGATGTTGGAGTTAGCTGAGTAGTAGATCAATGAGCCATAGTCAATTTTGGATAGGATGAGCGATTTGTATATGGTGAGGAGGCTGTTTTTTTCAGATCCCCATGTGTTATGAGCCAGCGTTTTGATGACTTTCATTCTATTCTTACATTCTGTTTTGAGTTTTTTGAGGTGGGGCACCCATAAGAGCTTGCTGTCAAAGATCATACCGAGTATGCGAATGTTTTCGGTGTATTCGATTTTAGTGTTGTTCAGGTAAACATGGTGGAGTGTGTCATTTTTTTTTTTATTATTGAAAATTATGCCTTGGGTTTTGGCTGCTGAGAACTTGAGGCCTGTGACAGAGGACCATTGTGATAGGGCTTCTAGCGCGGTTTGAAGGAGTGCTACAGTAGTTTTGATATTATCACCACGACAGTATATACTGCAGTCATCGGCAAATAGTGTAGATTTTATGGGAGGCTGTATGTTACTAAATATATCATTTATGGTGACGAGGAATAGTGTAACACTGATTGATGATCCTTGGGGTAGTCCGTTCTCAATGTCTAGGTGTTTGGAAACTACGTTCCCTAGCTTTACCTGGATTTTTCTGTTGTGAAGAAAATTGTGAAGAAAGTTTAGCATGTTTCCTGCAATATTCCATTTCTGAAGGGTGGCTAATGTATTTTTTTTCCATACCATATCGTAGGCCTTTTCTATGTCAAGAGCAATTAGTATTAGGTGTTGTTTTCTTATAATTGCTTCGGTTATATCTGTGTGAAGTGTTGCTAAGACATCATGAGTAGAATGGTTTTTGCGGAAGCCACATTGTTGTTTTGTGAATTTTTTGTTCGTTTCGAGAAACCACACTAAGCGTTTGTTTATCATTTTTTCAAGTACTTTGCTAAGAGTACTAATAAGTGATATTGGACGGTAGCTGAGAACATTAAATTTATCTTTTTCAGGTTTTAGAATGGGGATTATGAATGCTTGTCTCCATTGGTTAGGAAAAATCCCATTATTCCAGATTAAATTGTAAATTGCAAGAAGAGTGTTAGTTGCATTTTCTGATAGGTTTTTCAAAAAGGTGAAAGGTATATCATCGGGTCCAGGGCTTTTGCTATTACAGTGTTGTAGTGCGAAGTAGAGTTCTTTTATATTGAATGGGTGATTGTATTCCGCTTTGTCAGGTTGAGGATTGGGGTTAATAGTAAAATATTTTTCAGATTCGTTTTTGAATATTAGAAAATTATCCTCATAGTTTGTATTACTGTTGTTCAATTGAAATGACTCAGCGAAGGCTTGGGCAATTTCAGGAGCTGTGTGTAGCTCAGTTTGGTTATGATACATGTGGTTAGGTAGTTGCTGGTGTTTGCATCCTTTGAGGGATCGAATTTTGTTCCAAACCGCAGATGGGTGAGTTCTGATATTTATTGTAGATGTGTATTTTTGCCAGCATTCGGTTTTACTTTTTTTTGTGATGAATCTGGATTCGGCTTTATATTTTTTTAATAGGATATGGTCTGTTTGTAGGTTGGTTTTTTTGAAGCGGTTGAGTGCTTTTTTATATCTAGTGATTGCAGTTTTGCAATCTTCATTCCACCATGGTACTGTTCTTTTGTTTAGAGGGCGATTAGATTTCCCAATTGCTATGTTGGCTGCTTTTATTATCAGTGTTGATAATTTGTTGACCAGTTCATCAATGTACGGTTGGTTTATGGGTGGAATATGTTCCTTAGAGAGCTCTAGTTGGATTTCAGTGATGTATTGGTCTACGAGGCAGGAGAAAAGATCCCAGTTTGGTGACTTAAGTTTCCATTTATTTATAGGGTCTGATTTGGAAGGTTGATGGAAGAGTTGTAACTGTATAGGCCAGTGGTCACTACCATTATAGGATTGGAGGGTGTTCCATTCTATGTGTGGGGCGATGCTTGTGCTTGCTATGGATAGGTCAATTGCTGATAGATTTCCGTTAGCTGCGTTATGTCTGGTAGGGCTACCATTGTTTAGGAGTATTATATTCGGTTCTTCGAGCAATTTCTCTACTGTTTTTCCTCTGCTGTCTGTATAGGAGGAACCCCATAGTATATTCCGACTATTAAAGTCACCAATCATTATGAAGGGTTTAGGTAGTTGGGTTATAATGTGGGTAAGATCATGGAGGCTGAAACTGGTGCTGTCAGGGAGGTATATATTACATATGCATATTTTGATTTGAAGTGTTATTGATACCGCTATTGCTTCAAGATGTGTTTGGAGATTGACTTGATGGTTTTCTATGTTGTTTTTTATGAGTATAGCAACGCCGCCACTCGCTCTGATAGGGTTTACACGGTTTCTGCAATAGCTGATATAGGATTTTAAGTGGGCAGTTTGACCTGTTTTTAGGTTGGTTTCTTGAAGACATAGTACGCTGGGTTGTAAGTTGAAAAGGATTCGTTGTATATCGGTGCTTCGTTTGTAGAAGCCATCTAGATTCCATTGTATAATGTTAGCCATTTTGATGAAGGTAATAAGTGGATCGATTAATTGT